CAACGATGATGGCAGTGACTGGGATGGGGTGGGGTATTTGGAGAAAACTAACAGTTTTTTTTAAAATTATTGGTAACTTGTTTTGACAATTTTGCCCCTGAATTAAGTTGTCCATTTGAGTCAAAAGTATTGTTTCAACGTTGATTGATGATTTTATGGACGGAATTTGTGATTTGGATCGCGGCCACATTTAAATATAAAGGTTTGGGCCTATGGTTACAAAAGTAAAATGTTAAGATGTAATTTGCAGCAAAATAAAAAGTTTGGGACAGGCGCTGCAATTTTCTCGAAATTTTTTATTAAAAAAAGTGTTTTAACTTGATGGAATATTGTAAAATGAAAGGAATTCTATTAGAAAGTGCTTTTGTAGTGTATTACAAATGATTGCTTAACTCAGCCCTTTGTGGGGACCATATATAGATCTTTTAAAATGAGATTGCCATCCTCCATCAGGCATCATGTCAAATTGTAGTGTCTAACCTCAATACATATGTTACCGCCCTATTCGAAAAGATTTGATTGGATAATGAATTCGACCAGCCAAATCATTATTACACCTAGCTTGTTGTCGTGGCCTAAATCATCATCACTTATTATCTAGGCAATCATTACTCTCATCTGATTGATGGATGTGACAGTACTGATGTTAAAGGTAACATTTGCCCACTTTCAATTGATTGTTATTGGACATTATTTCTATTGGTCATAATATTTTCAGATTATGCAGCCTATATATGACTAACTACGCTACACGAACAAGGCCATTCGTTTAGATTTATTCATAGATGACCGTTCTTATTGGATGAGTCCCATGGTTCTTCTGTCACTGTGATTTGAAGATTTAACTCCTTTAATTAGCTTTTGTAGTGGGTTCAGGGTGGACCTTGAAATCGGACACCAACCGTTGTAATTCATGTTTGACAAAAGTAATTCAACATTGATTAAAACGTAAACAGTAGACAACCAAACGAAGTAATCAAATTCAACAAACAATGAATTGACTGGTTTTTTGCAACCAATTGATACAAATGTAAAGTACAAAATACCAAGATACACAAATGTAACAAAGCAAAATGAAAACAGGAAAAAGAAAACAATTAAACTGTGAAAATAAAAAATAAAAAAAAAAAAGAAGGACAAAATTGTCTCAAGTCTTACAAATTTAATCACAATGAATGTAAAGTGCATTGGACTCAAGGGGTGGCAATTATTCAAAAAGCACTCAGTATGTCCAAGAAAATCATGTCCGTAATAAATCCTCTCTAATGTCACAACCAAAGTGTTGCAACCATAGCAACTCCAAA